CAGCCCAGCCCTAAACCATGACAGCCACACAAGGACTTCACACACACCACAGCAAGTGTTTCAGCATGCTGCCAGTCATATATAATGCATTCATAGAGCTAAAGCCTATAGGATTTAACCAGAACGGTGTTGAAACACAAAAACAACGTGTGCCTGATGTTGCTTCCCATTGTGCTCAACTGCTACTGGCAAATCTCTGACCCTGGGATCTATTTCGCACCATGGGAATGCCAAAATTTCCTCCTCCTGTACCTGACTCCTGCAGGTCCGTGGCAGAAGGCAGAAGGTTGAGGAGCACAGACAGTCTGTTCCACAGGCTCTGCGAACTCTGAAAAACACAAAAGGCCACGGAAGATGTCAAGATGGATGCAACAAATCATAAATTACTCATAAAAGCCCCCAAAATTGGGCTTTCCAGCATCTTTCCCAGACCTTTATGCTTTATAAAGAGTAAACTTCACTACACTTCTTAGGTCAAGACGACCTTAATGCAGCTGGTGGAGTATTTCATATCACCTTCTGTCCAGGACTGGGAGTTTCATCACATCCTCAGCATCCCCAGCCCAGGGGAACCGAACAGACACAGCCATGGACCCCGAGTTCCCACCCCTGGACCCTGAGCTCCCACCCCATGGACCCCGAGCTCCCACCCCATGGACCCCGAGCTCCCACCTGAGCACACATGATGATGAGGTCCGTGTTTGTCCTCAGCCAGTCCAGGAACACCTTGACGGTGAGGAGCAGCCCTTCGTTGGTGACGATCTCCAGCTTCTCCTGAAGGGATCGCTCGTTCCTGCAGGATTTGTTGCTGGAAATGCTTTCCTCAGAGTCAGATACATCATCTGGAATATGAGGGAGAAGCAGGAGAACATTAAACCCCTCGAGAAGCCAATCCCTACAGGTAAAAGAACAGCACTGGGTTGAACTTCTTGGTGCCTCACAAAACCAGCTCCCTGTCCCCTGTGCTGTTGCTAAGAGGGAACCACTGGTGCATTTTACTCTTCCTCAGGAGACTGTTAAAATCTCCCTAAAAAAGCTTGACAGACGTCTTTACCCCTGCAGCAGCCTGTGAGATGCTTACAGCACAAGGACCACATCATCGACGGCAGAGAACAGAGCCAGCAATCGCCGTTTTGGGTCAACGTGCCCCAATCTCTGGGCTACGCAAGAGAAGAAAACAGCAGTGGTATTTCATGAGCCCAGGTGAAGTTTAATATTGCATTCCGCTGTAGTCCCTTATTTTAATTGCACTGTCATTTCCACCGTTCGTTATCATGCAATAAACCCTGAGAATCAACAGGGAGGAAGCGATTTATTCAGAAATAAACCCCTGATGAGTGTCAAGGCCATGAAATAGCTCGAATTCTGAGACAGCACAGCTGAGGCAAGGAGGGCTCAAAGCTAAAAGGCACATGGGTTAACTCAACCTCTCATTCTCTACATCAATAAAGGTGTTCAAATACGCTCCTGGAGCTGCAACATCTGTGAAACCCACTGAAGGGAAATGTTAAACGGACCAAAAATCTTTGTTTCCTCCTTTCCTCCCATCTCTTTCAAGCAGCTACGAAGCAATGCCAGGAGCCAGCAAACATCAACACAATCCAGCGCTCCCCCTTCAAAACCTGGTGCAGGCAAAGCCCGAACCCCGCCGCTGCGGGCCCACCGAATTCGGCAGCACGATGCAAAGATGCTTCCTTGCTCCAGGGAAGCTGGGAGGAACGACAAACAAGAGCCAACAGGCCCGTGTGGTTCGAGCTGCATCGGATCTGCCCTTCAGAGCATTACTCAGCTGTGTAAGTTGATGTTATAAAGAGACATTGCAGCTCCACCTGCTGTGCAGCTGCAGTTTGGGCCAGGTCTGGGTGCTCAGAGGGGGACAGAGAGGCGCCTTTGACTCCTCTCACATGCATCCAGGTCACATCTTACAGACCAGCTCCACAGAGCCGATAATCTGGCATCTCACGGAGAAATTCCTGGACTGCATGTGCACCAGAAGCACTGGTAAGTGTCTGCCTACAGAGCAGAAAAACCCATGGCCTGCAGGTTACTTTTCACATGGGAAAAAGGAAGATAATCCACATTTTTAACGCCTGCTGGAATTACTCTCTGTGTATCAGAGCTGCTCAGCATTCAGCCTGATGAGCAGAGCAGGTAGCACTGGTTGGCTGCAGGGGTTTCCCATGCTCAGGGCACACATCCCTGGATACAGGCAATGGGAGTAAAGCTCCTCCTTCAGGAAACACCCAACCTGAGCAACCTGCTCCTCCAAACCACACCAAAGGAGAACTTGCAGCAGGAGGAGGATTTAGCAAAGGATTTAGCTACAGCTCGCAGTTTCCTACACATATTTTGAGTGATCCCCACCTTGCTCTGCCAAGCCCGGCTTCTCCAGATCTCCGTTGACACAGGGTTTGCTCTCCATGCCATCCTTCAGGACGGGCGGTTCACCGCTGGGTTTCAGGAGGATGTTGCTGAAAGTTGGAGCCAAGCGGAAGCAGCGTTTGGTCTGGAAGAGCTGGGTGGACATGGCCTGCAGGTTACTGGCTATGCTGGCCTCGGTGGTGCTCAGGGACGCCGGCCCATTGACCGCCGGATCCGGAGCCTCGATTTTAGAGATGCTCGAGCTCTTGGAGTCCCCAGGCCCACTGCCATCCACACAGTTTTTTAAGGCCTCTTTGGGCCCGCTTTTGCCTCGGCCGCTTCCCTCCTCATCTGCCTCATCCTCCATGTCCTCCAAGTCGGACCGAGACTCTTGGCTGTTCATGTCAGAGTCCGTCTCCACGTCGAAAGCGGCTTCTGCTTCCACGTCGCTCTTCTCTGAGCCGCTTTCCGAGCCATCGCTGCCCTTTGTAGAGCCCTGGCTGGAGTCCGAGTCAAAGCCCTCGCTCAGGTCGCTCTCATCCACCTTCTGGGGGTGGCGGCGGCGGCGCAAACAGGAGAGGCGGGAGTATTTCTTGCTTTTCTTGCAGTCGTTTTTCCGCTGTTCCTCGCTGGGTTGATGGTTGGCCACGTCAGCTTCGGCTTCCTTCTCGATGGAGTTCAAGGGCTCCCGCGGCTCCTGGTCGTCTGCAGGCGTTTAAAACAAGACCACAAGTTAGGAACGTCCCGATGCGTCACACAAACCGCTCACCAGCCCTGAGCCTGGGCAACCAGCAGTGCCAACTCCAGCCCTGGTTTCTTTTCGTGTCTTTAACCAGAGAACAAGTAATGGCAACCCTAGGAGGATGAGTCATTTCTAAACCGTGTCCAGAAAGGCTTTGGGAAGCCTGGATTCCTACTGCCTGAGTTGTGCTGCTCCGCTATCGGGCAGCCTCAGAGCTGAATGCTGCCAGACCAGCACAAAATACACAGTTAAATCTTAAACCTTTTCCTTGGCTTTCTACGGGGATTCAGCAGTTTTAGTCTCTGTTCAATGGGATCCCCCAGAAAGTAAAGATCTGGTTTTGTCAGGACAATGAGAGGTGCAGAGCAGCGCCCGTCTCCCTCAGTCACTGCTCTGTCCTGGTGTTTCACCTGGCATCACCTCCTCGGTGGAGGAGAAAGGAGTTCAGGAAATACCAACAAACAGAGAGAAAATAAGGAGCACAAATTGGTGTAAACGGATGACGAATGAGCTGCCAAGAAATACAGAAATATAGGAAGGAAAGCGACGTTTCCATCCTGTGATGATTCTGATACTCACAGGGAGTGTTTAAGTGGAGACTGTGTCAGCAAAGTACCCATCTATGGGGATTTCAGCCCAGCAGTTCAAAAAATCAAGATGTTTCTAACATCTCACAGGGACTACACTACAAAATCTATACCCAGGAGGTTTAGAAAAGTAAAAGCCAGTCCTACAGGCAGGGAAATGGAGAGACCCAGCTTACAGCATCGCTGTCCTCTTACCTGTGCCATCGCTCTGAAAGGCTGGGACTGGATTTTCCCCATCTTCCAGCTCCGCCTGCAGGCGAATATTGACGTGATTTATCAGGTGAGAGAAGAGGGCCAGCGTGAAGGCGATGGCTGCGCTGTACTGCTTGGAACCTGCAAGGAGACAGTGCAATGAGAATGACCACCAGTCCGCAGCATTAATCCCAATTAAGACACCATCTTCAGCTTAACTGGACTGCTGGATGTTAAATCGCTGCATTTCTGGATAAAGCACCGGTTACCTGCCCTCTTGAGGCTGTGAACGCTCATGAGGCAGATGATCACCATGCGAAAGATCAGGAGGTCAGGGAGGAAGGAGTAGCCGCTTTCGTACTCTTCCTCATCTTCGCTAGTGGAGCTCAGGTTGGGAGGAGAAGGCAGGTAGAACAAGCACAGGTTGAAATCCTCCAGCACAGACTGGCAGAGAGACGTCAGCTCAGCATCCAGAGAGCTTAACAAGAGGAAAAAAACAAATTATTATTATTATTCAAGACTCAAGCTCTGCATGGAAACTGAACCCACACTGGCAGTCCTGTAGCACCAGACGGGATGAAGCACCAGGGAACACAGTGCAGGCAAGTGAGATGAAGCAGAGGATGTTTTCCTCTCCAAAGCTGCTAAACTAAAGACAAATTATAAGTAAAGCATCTCCCAGCGAAGAGATCGGTCACCAAAATATAGGATTTTCCCTGGGAGCTCAGGCAGTAACCATGAAGATACACAGGGCACTTCAGTGCTAAAGGTAGCCTAAGCTTCAGATCCACTGCTCATTAAAGGATTACACTGCAGCACAAACCAGGGACTCAACTTCTCCATGGCTCTGACTTGCAGCCCCATAAGGATATATAACCAAAATCCTCTGCAGCTATCAGCTACTTCAAAGGCAGCACCCACAGTATTCAGTATCACGGGAGTCTCCTCGTTACAAAATAAACCCTCCTGCAAAACATCCAACAAATCCTTTTCAGGAGGCAAACTGGGAAAAATTTCCAGTTTCCTTCTGTACAAAATATGTGTGAAGCAGATACTAAATGAGCCTTGAAGATCCACTCTGGTGTAAGTCAGTATTTAAAAGCTAACCCCATGCCTCCTCTATTTCAAGCAGCAAGAGGTTAATTTACAGTCACCTGAAAACCTTCCAGCAGAGACAGCAAAAATCCAAGGCAAAAAAGAAAGGCACACAGCTGCACAAAGCTTTCCATTTATTCCAGCATGAACAGGTTGTGCTATTTGTTCCTTTGACCCAGGTATTCGGTTACAGATTTTCAAATGCAACGAACACCCCCACACACATACGGAGAGTGAATCCTTGTTCGGAGTGTCAGGAGTTGGAAGGGACCTGGAGAGCT